TCATTTAGTTTATTTCTGAATACCCACTTCGTTCCAATAATGTTGAAACCTTTTGGTCTAGGAACCAGATCCCACACATCATTTCTTGTAAATTGATTTAGCTCATCTTGCATTGCAAGTATCCAATCATTGTCACTCAGAGCCTCATCCACGGATTTGGTTCAATAATAGACACCAACCCAAGAAGTGATGTTCCAGATGATCTGATAAACGACCTTGTTCTTATATGGTCATCTTTCTTCCCAATAATCATTTCTTCTAGATGAGAAGCCTTGATTCTGGATGATCCTTTAACTGTTGGTTCTTCAGAAATATTCATGTTATTCATCTGAGCAGCCAATGGAGTTGCATCTGGCGTAGCTTCTTCTTGAGCTTTCTCTACCTCTGACTTCTCAGATTCTATGAGAATAACTTCTCCATCTGCAGAGTTTTCAATCTGCTTTGGCTTTTGATTGCCAAGCTTATCATCAAATCTAACATGTATAGATTTTTCCATAATCTGTGTCTCAGTATTGTATACTCTGTAGCCTTTAGAGTGTTCAGAATATCCAAGCATGAAACACTTTTGTGCTTTAGAATCAAACTTGTTAAGATTCTCTTTAGTGTTCAGCATAAAACAAATACATCAAAAAGGATGGAAATAAGAAATGTTTGGCTTTCTATTCCTCCACAATTCATAAGGAGTCTTTTCCAGAAGAGGTCTAATTGACACTTTGTTCTGAATGTAACATGTTGTGTTAATTGCCTCTGCCCAAAAATGTTTTGCCATGTTAGTCTCATTGATCATGGTTCTGGCCATCTCTTGCAAAGTTCTATTTTTCCTCTCTACAACTCCATTCTGTTGTGGAGTTCTAGGATAGGAGAAATCATGAGCAATGCCATTTTCATTAAAATATTTTTCAAAATGTTTGTTTTCAAATTCACCACCATGATCACTTCTGACTTTAACAATTTTGAAATCTTTTTCAGTTTGGACTTGTTTGTAGAAGTCAAAGAACACAGAGTGTGACTCATCCTTGTGTTTTAGGAATTTTACCCATGTCCATCTGTTGTAGTCATCAACAATGACTAATCCATACTTCTTGCCTCTGATGGATGCAGTTTTCACTGGTCCAAACAGATCAATGTGAAGTAACTCAAATGGTTTTGAAGTTGAAACAACATTTTTGGATTTGAAAGATGATTTTGAAAATTTTCCTTTCTGACATGCTTCACAAAGAGCATCTGAGTTGAACTTCATATTAGGAAGTTCTTTGACCAGATTAAGCTTATTAATCTGAGATATACATCTCATATTAATATGACCCAATCTTTTGTGCCAGACCCATTGCTCCTCATTAACAGACATAAGGCATTTAACATTCTGAACCTTAAGTTCTTAAAGACTAATTTTATAAATGTTGTTTTTCCTTTTACCATTAAAGAGGATTGAGCCATCCTTTTGACTAATAGCTTTGCAACACTTTTTATTAAAGATAATGTCATAACCATTGTCACTTAATTGACTTATGGATAATAGATTATGAGATAACCCTTCAACAAGCAAGACATTAGTTATGGAAGGAAGTTTACCATTGCCTATGGTTCCAGAGCCAATTATTTTTCCCTTCTAATTCCCCCTAAACTTGACATCTCCTCCAGATCTAAGCTCCAGACTTTGGAACATAGACCTTTTTCCCGTCATATGTCATGAGCATCCAGAGTCCATGTACCATGACTGGAGTCTTGACTTTGCTGCTAAGGATGTCTGCAATATAGATTATCTTATCCTTAGGTACCCAGATTTTCTTGGGTCCTTTTTGGTTAGTTGCCTTAAAGCTTTTTCTGAACTTCTGTCTTTCAACATAAGACTTGTTCTGATTAGCTTTAGATTTATTAAACACAGGTTTATTCTGATTAGAACTTGTGTGTTTAATATCATTCAAGTGACCAAATGTAAATTCAGAATATAAAGGAGGATACTTGATATCCAGTTTATCTACAGATTTTGGATTTGAATCTTCATAAGAGAAAGACTTATATCCAACACCTTTTCTATAGTTTCTGCTAATACCATAGATCATTGAAGCCATTTTGCTTCTATCTAGGCTTTTAGTTAGAAACTTCCTGAAACTATAGTCATAATCTTGTAAAATATTTTTAGGACATGGTTCAGATTTTGAATCAGAGTTTAGTTGAACAGATTCTAAATTATTTTTCAATTGAAGATTTTCATCTTTTAGTTCAGCTATTTCTGATTCAAACTTGTTACTCTCAAATTCAATATGCTTTAGAAGCATTTTGTATTTGAGTTTAACTTTGCTATAGTTTTCTAAAATATCAGATAAACTTTCAACAAGTTCCTGTCTAGAAAGTTCAGCAAATACCTCCTCAGAATCAGATTCTGATTCTGATCCAGATAATTCAGCACTGTCCTCAATGTCAGCCATGAATGCCACATTTGCACATTCCTCTTCTGACTCTGATGACGAATCAGATGCATCTGAGTCATCCCAGGTAGCCATCAGAACTTTCTTTTTGTGATCTGACTTTATTTTTGGGTTCTCCTTCTGAAGCTTTGGACATTCACTCTTGTAGTGCCCAGGTTCTTTGCATTCATAGCAAACAACCTCTGTTTTTCCAGATCGTCTATGTCCAGAGGATTCTCTAGATCTTTTGTATCCAGAGTGTTCTCCAGATCTTCTGTTCCCAGAAGATTCTTTGTGTTGATCTGGTTTTCTAAAGTTCTTGAACTTCCTTTGCTTATTCTTCCAGAGTTTGTTGATTCTTCTGGACAGCAAGGATAGTTCTTCTTCATCTTCAGAAGCAGACTCTTCAGAGCTTTCTTCTAATACCTGCAATGCTTTAACAACTTTATTAGATTTTAACGCAATTGACTTACCTTTCTTTAGAGGCTCATCTTCCTCTAGTTCAATCTCATGACTCCTTAGAGAACTGATTAGTTCCTCCAGCGTAATCTTGTTCAGATCCTTTGCCAGCTTCAGAGCAATGACCATGGGTCTCCATCTGGTTGGCAAGCTTCTGATTATTTTCTTGACATGATCTGCTGTAGAGTAACCCTTGTCCAGAACCTTTAGGTCAGCAGTGAGAATCTGGAATCTGGAAAACATTGCTTCAATAGATTCAGATTCTTCCATCTTGAAAGCTTCATACTTCTGGATCAGCGCTAGAGCCTTGGTTTCTTTGACTTGAGAGTTCCCTTCATGAGTCATCTTTAGGGATTCAAATATATCAGAGGCAGTTTCTCTGTTGGTTATTTTCTCATACTCAGTATGAGATATAGCATTTAGCAATATAGTTCTAGCCTTGTGGTGATTTCTGAATTCCTTCTTTTGCTCCTCAGTCATTGATTTTCTATCAACTTTCTTGCCATTCCCATCAGTGGGATGAACATATCCATCAACAACTAAGTCCCAAAGATCAGCATCAAATCCTAGAAAGAAACTTTCCAGTCTATCTTTCCAATAATCAAATTTCTCTCCATCAAACATGGGAGGTTTTGTGCTGACTCTTTCTTCATATTTGTTGTTGTTGGGTGTTGAAGTTTCAACAACCATAATGTATATCAACCAAGAGTATCAAGAGTTTTTCCCACTGGATATTTTCTGGTGACGGTTAAGTGATAGCACAAACAGAACCGAAACTCTGATGCCAACTGAAAGTGAGAAAAACACTTAGAAGGGGGGGTTGAATAAGAGTTTTAAGAAATATGGCAATAAAAACAACTCAAGATTTTTATCCTGGTTCGTTGAACTCAACTACTCCAGTCCACCTTATCAAAGATGATTTGCCTTTCTCTACAAGGACTTAATCCACTATTGATCAACGGATTATAATAGAAAGCACTAAGAGCAATTGTCTTAGTCTTCTCAAGAACTACTGACCACACCTTGGTCTTCTTAAGGAACTTCTTACAAATTAATGTAAACTAACAAGTGTTTGAATGCTTCTAATAAGTTGTATCACAACTGTGATGTATACACTTAAGATTAAGTACAACAAAAACTATATGGTTTTATGAAAGATCAAATGAATAAGATCTTGAGAGATTTTCTCTTTTATGAATTAAGCGTGTATTTCTTTCTGAGTGAACTTGCAATGAGCAAATGATGAGTAGTGAATTAGCAACCTCAAAATGTTGAAGTAGTTCTCCTTTTATAGTTTTTTTCCAAATGCTTTGAGTGATATGCAACTGAATATAATATTTGATTGTATGACTTTTCATCACCAAAAGTATGGGCAGAGATATGCTTTCTGCAAAAAGGTATGGTTGTAGAAGCCTTGGGATTTGCACCACGTCACTTCTTTGGACAAATTAGCCGTTGGTTACTTTGGAAGTAGCACCACGTCTAATCAAGTTTACAGCTTCTTCAACAAGCTTCCTTCAAGATGAAGTCTTCATAATCTGCACTTCAGAACTTGTAGTAAGCTTAAAAGGTATGGAATGCTTTAAGATGATCAGAGCTTAAGATGAATGAGAATTTCAGAGCCTTGATAGATGATCAGATCTTAATGTATCAGAGTCTCAATCTTGATCAGAGTCTTTATCAGAGTATGCAGCAGTATGTGCTAAGAGCGTGAATATTAATGATAAGAGTCTGATTGTCAAAGCCTCTGATCTTGCAGTGAAAAGAACTTCAGAGTCTGATTAGATCAAAGCTTTCAACTTTTGTACACTTCTTTCATTAGCGCTTCAGATCATTCTGCAGCTTCTGCTTCAGATTCTTCTGGCAGCGCTCCAGAATCTTCTGATAGTCATGCATCTGATGCTTCAGAGCTTTGCATAGTTTCTTTGTACTTATGTATTTTACTTCTTTAAGAGTTTTCAATTTTATACCTGAAACAATAATACTTGAACAAATTTTAGAGTGTATATTTTCTTAATACAAAATTCCATAAAAGTTATCATCAAAACATAGAGATATAAAAAACACCAATCTATGTTCTAACATGGAATTCGACAAGGTGATCCACTCTCACCCATCCTTTTTGTCCTTATAATGGAATACATGAACCGGCTGTTGATCAAGATGCAAAGAGATCCAAATTTTAATTACCATGCCAAATGTGAAAAGCTGAAAATTACCAACCTCGCATTTGCAGATGATATACTGCTGCTATGTAAGGGAGACGAGATCTCAATGGAAATGATTTTAGAAACCTTCGGAAAATTCTCCAACTCCACAGGACTGCTGATGAACCCCAACAAGTGCAAAATATATTTTGGGGGTTTGGATACGGAAACCAGGAAAACTTTGAAGGAGCTGTCAGGATTCCAAGAAGGGGTACTACCTTTCAAATACTTGGGAATTCCCTTATCGAGCAAAAGACTAACCATCAATCATTTTATGCCCCTAGTGGATAAAATAGTGGCTAGAATACATCATTGGTTCTCTAGACTACTTAGTTACGCAGGAAGAATGCAACTAGTCAAAAGCATCACTTATGCAATGGCACAGTACTGGATGCATTGCCTTCCCCTACCCAAATGCGTGATCAAGAAGGTAAATGCAATTTGCCAAAGTTTCATTTGGACTGGAAAAGATACTGTGAGTAGAAAATGCCCGATGGCCTGGAAAACTGCTTGCAGCCCAACTGCTCAGGGTGGGATGAACATCTTAAACCTTCAGACCTGGAACAATGTACTCCTCTTGAAATGTCTGTGGAACATTTGCAACAAAACCGACACACTGTGGATCAAATGGATCCACGCACACTACTTAAAAGGCAATGATATGATGACGTATGTAACCAAAACACATAATTCGTGGATCATTCGGGGCATCTTGAAACAAAGAGAGTACATGGACAAGGTCTGGCATGAATGGAACCAAGCTATGACCGCACAGAAATTTAAAGTTGTAGCCTTTTATAAGATACTAATTGATAATGGCACAAGAGTACCTTGGAGAAAACTGATCAGATTCAACAAAGGGCAACCGCAAACAGTACAATGCTTATGGCAAGCTTGTCATGGGAAGCTTGCAACCAAAGAAAGATTGAAACGTTTTGGAATGATTGAAGACAACATATGCAGTTTGTACAAAGCTGAAGAAGAAACGATGAATCACCTTTTTTTCCACTGTCCAAGAACAAGGCACATATGGAAGGAAACCCTCGAGTGGTTTAACATTCAACATGAACCCCAACAATGGGAGGCAGAACTAATATGGATCACTGATCTCACAAAGGGGAAGGGCTGGAAAGCTGATATTTTGAAGATGCTAACAGCTGAAACCGTCTACAGCATTTGGAAATATAGAAATAGTATTATTTTTGAAAACATTGTAAAGAATACAAACATGGTTACAAAAATCATAGATAATGTAATTTATAGAGGATGGCAAAACAATAGGATTAGAAAACACGTTATTTGTTTTATGATGTAATTGAGTCTGTTGGTGGGTTGGATCCTCGTTGGATCACCGTTATGTACTTGACTTGTTTTTTGAGTTAATATATTCTAACTTGATTCAAAAAAAAAAGATAGTTCATTTTAAGTCAAATTTTGCACTTAACAGGCCTTCATCTCATAGGTAAGTGTTGAAACAATATTAGTGTGGATTTTTGTTATCGTATCTGCAAGAATTTTGTGATATTACCGTCGTTCTACAATTGGAATCATTTTAAACATAGAACATAAAAAGTGGTTGATTTGATTTCGTAAACGCAACAATTGCATAAAAATTATAATCAATGGTAAAAAGTTTCAATTTTAAACGATTGGTAAAAACATGACAAGATTAAGGCTCGATAATCCATCTTATACATATTTTCTTAACAAAACATGTGAACTCATTAACAACAAATATAATCACATATCCTCTTAATATGTTTCATCTCTAAAACAAATTGTGATTTTTATCATATTGATCCTTAGATGATCTCTCTACCTAACTATCAATATGATAACATTAAAGGATTGATATTGGTGAATATCAACTCACAAAACTATCTATAGACTTTGTTTATTGAAAGATGAAAAAACTAGGTTAATAGTTTAAACATATTTCTCAATAATGATCCAACACAACTATACAATAAAAACAAGGTTTTTCACCATATATTCATCATCAATTTGTTCATACACACATATCAAGAGAAATACATACAAAAGTGAGGATTATCTACCTCTAATCTTGACACAAGGAGAGATTTAGTTACCCATAACCATGGTAGCTTGAGCAACACGTAACAAACAAAGTTTTTGGAGTATCAAACTTAAAAGGATCAAAGATTGAAGCTTAAAAGCTTTGATTTCTAAGTAAAAATGAAGAAGATGATTTTTTTTCTCTTCACCAAAGTTTCTAGGTTACAAAAGATTCTTCAAAACTAAGTTATGTTCCAAAAAATATTACAAAGTGATAAAATACACATGTTCTGTCCAGGCAACTTCGTCGTGCGAGCTACAAAATTCTTCGGGCAAAATCCTTTAGTAAAGCCACGTGACGGCAACAGTGCAAACAAGCTGGAAAAAATATCTGAATTCGTCAAGCGAAATAAAGCTTTGCCAGACGAATCCCTTTTGCTTCTCCTTTTCCAGGTGAATCAGCCAGCGAACCACTTCCAATAGCTACTGGAATTTCAAACTTCTTTCGCCTGGTCTCTCGTCGGGCCTTTATCGGGCTAAACTTCCCTTTCGCCTCTTCTTCGCCAGGCGAAGGTCTTGATTTCTTCTACACGCGACTTTCTTCTTTTCTTTGCTTTTTCTTACGATTTTTGCCGCACCCTTTTACAAAATATCCTACAAAACTAACAAATATATTAAAAATATCAAATATATGCATTGATGCAAGAATCACTTAATAAATAAGTTGTTTCGCAATCAGAAGTATGGAAAAGAGCTTAAAAGTGTCGTAAATTGATACGAAAACCATTCTAAACTTGACATATATCAAACTCCCCAACTTGCATCTTTGTTTTCCATCAATCAAAGGTAAGTTTCAAACTCCATAAGAAAGCTTTCAAAAACACCAAATCATACGGAAAACATTCATGGTTCAAACTCGACAATCGTACACACAAAACATTTTTAATTTCTTACATAGAATCAAAATATGATTATGAATTAAGTTCTAAACACAACATCACACAATGCAAAATCAAGTACCCACAAGTTCAAGTTGAATCACTTAATTCACTCATTATCAAACACATGAACATTATGTACACAAATTTACAAGGGATAAAACACTCTCATAAGTAATCGTGCCACATCTAGAATAATTCATGCATTCATCTCACAAAATTATCACAAAATCATGGAAACAAAGATCACTAAAGGATTTTATGGTTGTAACTTGGCTTAGGTTAACAGCAAAGGATAATATATACACGGTCATTGAACAAAAACGAGTAAAATTTATGAAGAGCATTTCAAATAAATAAATAAATAAATTCAAATTTTCATTATTGCTCAATCATTTGATTTCTTTTCTTATAATGCATCATTTTTTTCTTTTTATTGATTATTTCTTTCCCTTTGTGTTCTTTTCAAAGAATGCATTGTACCACCTTTTTTTTCCTTTTTTTCTTCTTCTTTTTTTTAATGAAACAACTCTCCCCAAATTTCAATATTTCATTCTCTTTTGACAAAAATGTTCTTCACACAATGTTAATAATTTGTTGGGATCTAAATTAATTCATTTTCACACAAAAAATTTCATTGTAAGGCTCAAGAGGGGTCACGAATTCACACACACTAACAGGGTGAATGAAAGTCTTTTTGGAATGGTGGTTATTCTCATAGTACACAAAAATTGTTTTGCTCATTTCTAAGTTTCAAACATTTAAAAAAAACTTGCAAGATTAAACAGGAACTAAACGAGTAAAACAACAATTACTTGCACTCTACTTTTGGTGAACAATGGAAAGCACCTTACTTTTGTGGTTTTGTCATAATTAATTCAAACATAAACAAGTATTTATAAAACAATGCATTATTATAATTTTGCATAAAGCACTAAATTCATCATCATGTTATAACTCTACAAATCAATTTTTTCAACACCTTGATTGTGCACATCAACAAGAATTTTATCATCACCATCACATGTTTAAAGTTGACATAACACTCTTATAAGACTTGTGCTAGCACAAAAAAATTTCTAAATCAAGGACAAACACAAAACTTAACCACACTAATTTCTTTCCACAAACATAACTTAAACACACAAAAAACTGAATTTTATCATAAACCAAACTGAAATTTCATAACCAATGTCATGTTGTAAACACACCCAAAATGTATTCGCCGAAGCGCCAAAATGCTACGACAACAAAATTCGCCAAAGCGACCCAAAAGTACTTACTAAAACTAAATCAACTGAAATAAAATACTGAAAATAAATGACAATGATAAAGATATTCTTCACTTTGTAGTCAAGCCCATAATTAAGCAAATCATGCAACTCATTGTCGCACCTCGAAAAATCATTCGAACATACGACCCTCGCGCGAAAGGCGCGGAAATGCGGTTCGACAGAGTCGCCAACGAACTTTATTTTTCCCGAATAAACGGGAGAGGAAAATATCGAGAAAACCTCTTAAAACGAAAAGGATAGGAATAGGGATGTCGCAACCATGTTCCGGGTTCGGGAGTCGGTTACATGAGGGGAAGGTATTAGCACCCCTCACGTCCGTCGTATTCGACGGGAACCTCTTAAGGTAATGTGGGAAGTGTTGTTTAGGTTTACTTGCTTTCTTCTCGTTGTAAAAGGTAGAATTGGTAGGTTAAAAGGTTAAAGACGCTAAGGAGAGATGGGTGGTTAGAAGATAGGGTGCTCGCCAAGGATTGGGGCCCTTGTGCCTACGTATGCTCATTCGGACGAGAATGAGAAATCAGAGCGTCGTAGTTCGACTACGGGAAAGGATAGGGGGATACGGAATATGGATAGAAGTGTGCTCGCCAAGATCATCGCAATCTTGTGCCTACGTATCTTATATTCAAGAATGAATAAAGAATCAGAGCGTCTGTAGTTCGTGGTAACAACCACGAAAATTATGAGGTTGAATAGGTTGGAAGTTTGAGTTTGAGACGAAAGGGTGACTAACGAGCAACCCAAGAGCGCGTCTCAAGAGCTTGTCACTCAAGAATTCAAGGAATGCGAGACTCCAAGAACTCAATTCTTTCGGGAAATGACTGAATAAATTGAAGATAAAGAGTTGGATGTTTTGAAATCGAAAGAATGAACTAATAACAACTCAAGGGCGCGCCTCGAGAGTTACTCATTCAAATATTCAAAGAATGCTAGATTCTAAGAATATCTCTCTTCCATAAGTTTTTTTAAAAATGTTTGTGAAAGGATCGAATCGAAGAATGGCATGCGAGGCCAAAAGGAAGTTGTTTTAAAGTAGTTCGACGACGTGTCGAGAATTTGATCGGAGATAGAACCGGCTTGACGACGTGTCAAGGGTTAGAACGGTGAGAAACGATATCAGTCCCTGAGGGTGCTCCTAATATCGAGACCACGAGGAATTGTGAAAGAAATGGGTTGCGAATGCGGACGAGCATTCGACTTAGGAGAATGCTTGAAAATGATTTAATTTTGAAAGAGTCGAAAGGTTGAGCGAATAACAACTCAAAGGCGTGCCTTGAGAATTATTCACTCGAAGACACAAGGAATGCTAGATTCCAAGTATCCCCTTCTTTCGAAGTTTGATCGAGAAAGAATATTTTAAAAATAACTTGAAGCGAAATGGGGTATGAAAATAAATTGTGAACGTGTGAGAAGTGAGAACGCGAGATTGAGTTTGAAAATATCGATTATTTAATAAATGAGACGTCGGCCCCACGACTAGATAATCGGGGTATTATCGAGATACTAGATCTTGACGATACATTTTTCATACATAAAATGTTTGAATTAACAACGGGAATATCACACAGAATTGCTGGATTTTTATGATATTTGTTCTAAATAGCGTACTAAAATGAAAAGTCGAACGACGTATTATTTGAGGTGTACACCTCCATAATGTTCGTCCAAAATTCAAGAAATGCTTGACTTCAAGAATTTAATTTTTATGACTTGATTGAGAAATAATTTGGTATTAAAAAAATATACTGAAACAGGATTTAAAGAAAATCAAACATATTTTAGAAATAAGCTGAAAAATAGATTGTAAGTTAGAATGGATTGACTTAAATTTAGCAAAAAATAAAATAAATTAATTAAAATTTAAAAGTAAATTTGACAAAAAAAAAATCTAAAGTGTAATTTATTGAATTGTTTAAAACATGTTACTTACTAATACAAAAAATAAAAGTTGAATTGCCTAATAAATTAATTATATATAAAAAATGAACAATACATTATTTAAGGTGTACACCTTAATAATGTTCATTCGAAAACTCGAGAAGTGCTAGACTTCAAGAGTTTAATTTTAA